GATAGAAGTATTTAAGTGGGTGAAAGGAATCAATAAAGGAGATATAGATAAAGTTCATATAATATCCGAGGATAGGACTCGAACAACGGATTCAAGTTGGATAAGTTTAGGTTTAGGAGGGAATAGGATGGAACTGGTTTACAAATAGGGTGGTGGACAGGTGGAACAAGCTTAGCAACTTTGTAGCAAGTGCTGGAACGCTGGAAAGTTTCAAAGGGAGGCTGGATAGATTCATGGATGATAGAGAGTGGTAGTAACTCTCGACAGGAGCTGCCATGAACAGGCCAACCGGCCTATTGCAGACTCCTTATTTTCTTATGTTCTTCTTATGTTCTTATCACCACCACAGGTATGTCTCCACCACCATCACCACCACAGGTATGTCTCCACCACACAGGTATATCTTCACCACCATCACCACCACAGGTATATCTCCATCACCACACGTATATCTCCACCACCATCACCACCACAGGTATGTCTCCACCACACTGGTATGTCTCCACCACCATCACCACCACAGGTATATCTCCACCACCACACAAGTATATCTCACCACCACCACCACCACAGGTATGTCTCCACCACCACAACAGGTATATCTTCACCACCATCACCACCACAGGTATATCTCCACCACCATCACCACCACAGGTATGTCTCCACCACCATCACCACCACAGGTATATCTCACCACCACCACCACCACAGGTATGTCTCCACCACCACCATAGGTATATCTCACCACCATCACCACCACAGGTATATCTTCACCACCATCACCACCACAGGTATATCTCCACCACCACCACCACCACAGGTATGTCTCCACCACCACCATTCTTCACCACCACACCACCACAGGTATATCTCACCACCACCACCACAAGTATGTCTCACCACTACCACCACCACAGGTATGTCTCCACCACCACCACAGGTATGTCTCCACCACCACCATAGGTATATCTCCACCACCATCACCACCACAGGATATCTTCTCACCATCACCACCACAGGTATATCTCCATCACCATCACCACCACAGGTATCTCCACCATCCATCACCACCACAGGTATGTCTCCACCACACAGGTATATCTTCAAAACCATGCACCAATGTCCACCACACAGGTATGTCTCCACCATCATCACCACCACAGGTATGTCTCCACCACCACAGGTATATCTTCAAACCATCACCACCACAGGGTTGTCTCCACCACACAGGTATATCTCCACCACCACAAGTATATCTCTACCACCACCACCACCACCACCACAGGTATGTCTACCACCATCACCACCACAGGTATATCTCCACCACACAGGTATATCTCCACCACCACAGTATGTCTCCACCACCACCACCACCACCACCACAGGTATGTCTCCCATCACCACCACAGGTATGTCTCACCACACAGGTATATCTCCACCACAAGTATGTCTCACCACCATCACCACCACAGGTATGTCTCACACCACACAGGTATATCTCCACCACCACAAGTATCTACCACCACCACCACCCACAGGTATATCTCCACCACCATCACCACCACAGGTATGTCTCCACCACCACCATCACCACGTATGTCTCCCACCACAAGTATATCTCACCACCACCACCATCACCACCACAGGTATGTCTCCACCACCACCACCATCACCACCATGGCATGTCTCACCACCACCATCACCACCACACGCATGTCTCACCACCACAAGTATATCTCCACCACCACCACCATCACCACCACAGGTATGTCTCCCACCACCACAAGTATATCTCACACCACAACACAAGTATGTCTCCACCACCACAAGTATATCTCACCACCACCACACCACCACAGGTATGTCTCACTACCATCACCACCACGGAATTCTCCCACCACAGGTATTCTCACCACCACTATCCACACCATCACACGGTATGTCTCCACCACCATCACCACCATAGGTATGTCTCCACCACCACAGGTATGTCTCCACCACACACCACAGTTGTCTCCACCACCAAGTATATCTCCACCACCACCAACACAAGTATGTCTCCCACCACCACAGGTATATCTCCACCACCACTATCCACCACCACAGGTATATCTCCACCACCACCATCCACCACCACAGGTATGTCTCCACCACCACAGGTATATCTCACCACCACCATCACCACCACAGGTATGTCTCCACCACCACAAGGTATATCTCCACCACCACAGGTATGTCTCACCACCACCATCACCACCACAGGTATGTCTCCACCACCATCATCACCACAGGTATGTCTCCCCACCACCATCACCACCACAGGTATGTCTCCCACCACCACAGGTATGTCTCCACCACCACCATCACCAGCAGGTGTCTCCACCACCACAAGTATATCTCACCACCACCACCACCAGTATGTCTCCACCACCACAGGTATATCTCCACCTATCTCCACCACAGGTATATCTCCACCACCACCATCACCACCACAGGCATGTCTCCACCACCACAGGTATATCTCCACCACCACCATCACCACCACAGGTATGTCTCCCACCACCACAAGTATATCTCCCACCTCCATCACCACCACAGTATGTCTCCCACCACCACCAACACCACCACAGGTATATCTCCACCACTACCATCACCACCACAGGTATGTCCATCACCACAGGTATATCTCCACCACCACCAACACCACCACAGGTATATCTCCACCACTACCATCACCCACCACAGGTATGTCTCCACCACCACAAGTATATCACACCACCACCATCACCACACACAGGTATGTCTCCACCACCACAGGTATGTCTCACACCACAGGTGTCTCTACCACCACAGGTATCTCCACCACCCTTCCAGGTATGTCTCCACCACCACAAGTATATTCCACCACTACCATCACCACCACCACAGGTATGTCTCCACCACCACAGGTATATCTCCACCACCACCATCACCACCACAGGTATGTCTCCACCACCACAAGTATATTCCACCACTACCATCACCACCACAGGTATGTCTCCACCACCACAAGTATATCTCCACCACTACCATCACCACGGATCCACACCACAAGTATGTCCCACCACCACAAGTATATCTCCACCACCACCATCACCACCACAGGTATGTCTCCACCACCAAGTATATCTCCACCACTACCATCACCACCACAGGTATGTTCCACCACCACAAGTATATCCCACCACTACCATCACCACCACAGGTATGTCTCACCACCACAAGTATATTCCACCACTACCACTCACCACCACAGGCATGTCTCCACCACCACAAGCATATCTCCACCACTACCATCACCACCACAGGTATGTCTCCACCACCACAAGTATATTCCACCACCACCATCACCACCACAGGTATGTCTCCACCACCACCATCACCACCACAGGTGTCTCCCACCACCACAAGTATATCTCCACCACTACCATCACCACCACAGGTATGTTCCACCACCACAAGTATATCTCCCACCACCACCATCACCACCACAGGTATGTCTCCACCACCACCATCACCACCACAGGTATGTCTCCACCACCACAAGTATATCTCCACCACTACCATCACCACCACAGGTATGTCTCCACCACCAGCATATCTCCACCACACCATCACCACCACAGGCATATCTCCACCACCACCATCACACCACAGGTATGTCTCCACCACCACAAGTATATCTCCACCACTACCATCACCACCACAGGTATGTTCCACCACCACAGGCATATCTCCCCACCACCACCATCACCCACAGGTATGTCTCCACCACCACAAGCATATCTCCACCACCACCATCACCACCACAGGTATGTCTCCACCACCACAGGTATGTCTCCACCACCACAAGTATATCTCCACCACTACCATCACCACCACAGGTATGTCTCCACCACCACAAGTATATCTCCACCACCACCATCACCACCACAGGTATGTCTTCACCACCACAAGTATATCTCCACCACTATCATCACCACCACCATCACCACCACAGGTATGTCTCCACCACCACAGGTATTCCACCACCACCATCACCACCACAGGTATGTCTCCACCACCACTACTTCATCACCACCACAGGTATGTCTCCACCATCACCACCACACAGGTGCCTCCACCACCACCATCACCACCACAGGCACAGTCTCCACCACACCACCATCACCACCACAGGCATGTCTCCACCACCACCATCACCACCACAGGTATGTCTCCCCACCACCATCACCACCACAGGCATGTCTCACCACCACCATCACCACCACAGGTATGTCTCCACCACCACAAGTATATCTCCACCACCACCACCACCACCACCACAGGTATGTTCCACCACCACCATCACCACCACAGGTATGTCTCCACCACCACCATCACCACCACAGGTATGTCTCCACCACCACCATCACCACCACAGGTATGTCTCCACCAACACCACCATCACCACCACAGGTATGTCTCCACCACCACCATCACCACCACAGGTATGTCTCCACCACCACAAGTATGTCTCCACCACCACAAGTATATCTCCACCACCACCATCACCACACCACAGGTATGTCTCCACCACCACAAGTATATCTCCACCACCACCATCACCACCACAGGTATGTCTCACCCACCACCATCACCACTCCACCACAGGTATATCTCCACCACCACCATCACCACCACAGGTATATCTCCACCACCACCATCACCACCACAGGTATGTCTCCACCACCACCGGGAAATATTTATAGCCGAGCGAGTATTTTAAGGCCGCCAGTATACGGTATACACTAAAGAGGGAAGGATTCATTACCGAACCTTCACCTTGTGTTTAACGCCATGGAAAGTTTGTACTAGTAGTTGTAGCGTGCACACAGTCGTCACACGCGCGGGTTCACAACACAAACACACGCACTTTCACAGTTGACCTGATAAAGGGTTAAGTAAGGAGAGCAACTGACCTGGAATGACCCGGGGACCGTTGGCGGTGATGGGGCCGGAACCATACTTGACCTGGCCCGGGTCAGCGTTGGACACGACGGCGATGTCTTCGAGTTCGTCCTCGTTGGCGCCGTGGTAGGTGGTGTAGCGGACTCTTCCTCCATCACCGCTCATCCTCTTGGAGCCCATCCCCCACATCCGCCGCCCCGACATGTTGTGGGGCCCTGGGGCACTCACAAATGTTGAGGGTTAACATGGGGTGACGTGATACCCGTCACCTCTCACGCCACACACCACTCACAGCTCATCAGTAGAGTCGTCACCGCTATTAACCTGATCTGCTTCACTACACCGAGGGATAATTACCACTGGGTTAGGACAGGAGGCGGGCGATGACCCAGCATGGTGAGGCACTATTGCTCAACACTGTTTGTGGGCCTCAGCCTCTCTCCATCTTGACTCAGCTGACGGAGCCAGCTTACTGGACCGTCCCCCTCCACTCCACCTCTCCCTCACCTTACTACACTTGCCGCCTCCAGTAAGTATAAGAGATCTCTTCCTTGTCGTGTGAAGGGCCGTTACCATGATTCTGCCGGCAGCCTAGGGGCCTCCAATACTATGTCATGTTGGCCATGCTTGGTGTTGAGGCCAGCCCCTGGCGGCCAACACTTGATGCTTGCCCTCAGCGGGGGCAGGACGACCACCACACCCAGCACAGCAGTTTCCTCATCCTCCACCTTCAGCTCCAGCGGCCTCACACTCACCTCCACCCTCTCGCTCCCTCACTCTTATGAACTCGAATACCAGGCTGCTGGCCCTTCAGTAACATGTAGCCGTGCAGCACCGTGAAGCAGGTCACTACCAGGTCAAGTATACTTGGCCGTCAGGTAACATGTACAGTGGTCGGTCTTCATAGAGCCTGTAAGAGTCACGCTAGTAGTGTAGTGTACAGGCGATGATCATGTCACAAGTGGCTGGCCTCCAGTAGCGCCGCTTATCCAGTGACAGTTTACTCAAGTCGTGTAGTAGGTCATAAAGAACAGGTGATCCTCAAGTAAAGTGGGGAGAGAGGGGCTGCAGGTAGGTACATGAGTGGAGGTGGTCACGTTTGTCGCAACTTAGGTAAGTGGAAGGAGTGGGCCAGGTGCCACGTACCGGTGGACACCCTCAGGGCTGGTGACCATACTGCAGCACACACACACCTCAGGGCCAGGTGAGGATGCAGCTAACGCCCCCTCACCACCACGCTTACCCACTTTCCTCACTCTGTGGGACCACTCAGCACTACTCCACACTGGTCCTGTGAGGCGACACACACGTGTTTTATGTTGGCAGGAGAGTGGAGGACCCAGCAGCCATGTGGTGGAGTGTGGCCACTACTGGGTCACTCTGGTGGTGGGTGCGGGCGAGGTGAGGTGAGGCCCCACATAGCGGGCCCTGCCCTAGTATTCACCTTCCGCCCACGATATTGGGCGGTGGTAGCCAGGGTGCGGGAGTGGGTGGGCGGCTCTCACACCACCACACCGCCCACACGTAGCTACAACTGAGTGTGGTGATGGTCCAGTGTTGTGCCCGCCTGGTGAGGGCGGCCCCTACTCTGTTACAACACGTTCCTTCCTGGTGATGCTCCCCGTCCCCAGCACGCCTCCGCTAGTGTGATGGGCGTGTACAGCCTGGTGTGGGCGGGGGAGTAGGCGACCTGCTCACATCACAATACACGAACTCCTCCTCTCACAAAGACCACGCCACAACTGAGACCGTTTCTCCAACAGGCGACCACACGCACGCACGAACGCACGCGCCAACACACTCACACTCTTAACATGGACAAGAGGGCTGCCTATACCCACTACTAGCAGACACAGACTGCCCTAGCCTCCAGACGGCCGCCACCAGCTACCGTGACCCCATCAGTGACCACCATAACCCCTACAGGTAAACCCAAGTCCTGGCCACCACAGCGGGTTGAGGGCGGTGAGGCGATCGATGACGGGGAGTCCACCAGCATCTCTGGCGTGATGCTGCTGGTGGTGGTGGTGGTAGTGTGGTGGTGGTGGTGATGGTGTTACCCACCACGTCCCTCCTCCGACCACAACCACCACCTCACCCCTCACCACAACCACCACCACCATAATCACCACCTCATTCTCTTCAACCACCCCCTGCTACCATCACTAGCACGACCATATGCTACTACGACAACCATAACTACCATCACCACAACACAGATACTTCCCGACACTAGCTCACCCCTCACCTCACCACTCACCTCATCCCTCACCTCACACCTCACCTCAGCCCTCACCTCACCTCTCACCTCACCCCCTCACCTCACCCCCCTCCTCCTCTCACCCCTCACCTCACCCCTCACCTCACCTCTCACCTCCTCACCCCTCACCTCATCCTCCTTCACCTCTCACCCCCTCCTCACCTCTCACCCTCACCTCACCTCCTCCCACCTCTCCCCCCTCACCTCACCTCACCTCACCTCTCACCCCTCACCTCACCCTCCCACCTCATCCCTCCACCTCACCTCTCACCCCTCACCTCACCCCTCACCTCATCCCTCACTTCACCTCTCACCCCTCCCACCTCACCTCTCACCCCTCACCTCACCCTCCACCTCACCTCACCTCTCTTTCCCCCTCCTCCACCTCTCCCCTCCTCACCACTCACCTCACCTCTCATCCCTCACCTCACCCTCACCTCACCCCTCACCTCACCACTCACCCATCCCTCACCTCACACCCTCACCTCAGACCACCACCTCACCCTCACCCCCACCCCACCCCTCACCCCACCCCACCCTCACCTCACCTCCACCTCTCACCCCCCCCACCTCCCCACCCTCACACACACCTCTCAGCCCTCACCTGCATCCCCTCACCCCACCCTCACCCTCACCCCCTCCCCACCCCACCACCTCACCCTCACCCCCCTCACCCCCTCACCCCCCCTCACCTCACCCTCACCCCTCACCCCACCCCACCTCACCCTCACTCACCCACCCTCATCCCTCACCCTCACCCCCACCTCACCTCACACCCCTCACTCACCTCACCTCCCACCCCCACCTCACCCTCACCTCACCCCTCACCCCTCACCTCCCCCACACCTCACCCCACCACCCCACCCCACCTCACCCTCACCCCACCTCACCCTCTCACCTCACCTCCTCTCACCTCCCCACCCCCCCCCTCACCTCCTCACCCCCCACCTCACATCCCTCACCTCTCACCACCTCACCTCTCACCCCTCACCTCACCTCACCTCACCTCCTCACCTCACCTCACCTCTCCCTCACCTCACCTCACCTCACCCACCCTCACTCACCTCTCACTCTCACCTCACCTCACCCCTCACCTCACCTCTCACCCCTCACCTCACCTAAAAGTCTATTATTTTAAACAGTTATCTGGGGATGGTAGTGCAAATATATCATGGTAGCGTACGAGCATCATGGTAGTGACCTGTGCCGTAGGTGGGTGAGGTGTGATTATCGTTCTGGGTGATGCTGGTAGTGGCAGGAGTAGTAGTGGTGGTAGTAGTAATGGTGGTAGTAGTAGTAGTGGAGGTGGTAGTAGTGGTGGTAATGGTAGTAATGTAGTAATGGTACTAGTAGTTGTGGTAGTAGTGGTGCGGTAGTAGTAGTAATGGTACTAGTAGTTGCGGTAGTAGAGGCGGCAGTGGTAGTAGTGGTGGTAATGACAGTAACTGCTTTGGTAATTGTGTTAATAATAATAGTTGTAGTAATGCTAGTAATAGTAGTAGTAGGGGAAGCTGCCATTCACACCATGAGAACGATATTTGAGCAGCGTGATTGTGAGGCCGTTCTCCTGGTGGACGCTTCAAACGCATTCAACATACTTAACCGCAAGGCTGCACTGCACAACATCAAGATCAAGTGTCCAAGCTTTGCAGTGTATGTTGAAAACACCTATAGGAATCCATCAGACCTCTATATAGTAAACACCAAGGCTCTAAGAGGTGATACCATCATACAGTCAACTGAAGGAACAACGCAGGGAACCCTATTGCAATGGCAATGTACGCAATAGGCCTATCCGTGCTCCAACACACAATAAAATTTGAAACAACCGAGGTCAAGCAAGTGGCGTATGCTGACGACCTTACAGGAGCAGGAAAAGTGGAGGACACCAAAAAGTGGTGGGACTTGGTAACATCACCAAGTCCACAAATAGGGTACCACCCAAACGCCAGCAAGTCCATCCTCAATGTGAAGCCAGAACATTATGAACGGGCAATGGAGGTGTTCGGTGGAAGTGTGGTCCAAATAACAAAGGATGGCCAAAGACACCTAGGAGCAGTAATCGGCACGATGGACTTCAAGACCGAGTACGTAACGGGAAAGGTCAATGAGTGGGTTAGGGAAATCCAAGCTCTGTCTAAGATTGCTAACACAGAGCCACATGCGGCTTTTGCGGCATTCACCCATGGAGTCAAGCATTGCTGGAACTACCTGATGCGCACTATCCTTGATATCGGACTCCTCTGCCACCCTCTGGAAGAAGCTATCAGCGTCAATTTCATTCCCAAATTAGTGAAACACCTTCACTTAACCCCAGCAGAATGATCACTCCTTGCACTACCACCGAGACTGGGAGGAATGGGATTGACCAATCCAGAGGAGATTGCTGCCACCGAACATCAAAACTCAGTTAAGCTCACGGCAGCCCTCACGGACCACATAATAGCTCAGAACGCAACAGGGGAGGTGGATACCAGTGAAGTAACAAGATTCGAAGGTCCATTACGACAGAACAACTGCACGGTCAAAGTGATAAGTTGCAGCGACTGTTGCAGCAAGTACCAGAGAATTTGAAGGAAAAAAGTAGCTATAGCGCAGGAGGTGGGCGCCTCGAACTGGTTAACTACGTTACCGATAAGGACAAATGGTTTCAGTCTCAATAAACAAGAATTTACAGATGCCATTGCTCTAAGGTACGGTAGGCCAGTAGAAGGTTGGCCCTCCCAATGCGTGTGTGGCTCTTCCTATGACGTCGATCACGCCATGGTGTGCAAGATAGGGGGCTTCATATGCATGAGGCATGACGAAGTAAGGGATCTTACAGCAAATATGTTGAAGGAAATCTGCTGTAGAACCAACCCTTATTCCATTGGACGGTGAGAATTTCCAACATAGGACTTCAAACACATCCAACGAAGCCCGTGTGGACGTCAGTGCTCGAGGATTCTGGACGCGGGGACAGC